TTATTATTATTATTATTATTATTATTATTGCTACAGTGGATGAAGGTGTTGACTGTGTGTCACAGGTGCGGTCCAGTTGGAGGTGCGTCTCATGCCCGCCACCAGCAGGTTCGAGGTTTCGGAGAACGGGAGCCTGACTGTCAGCGGTACGTCATCATCAGCACACAGACTGATGAAGATCCCAACGTTTACACATCGTTTACATTTGTAGCTGAAAATCACACAACATTATATCCACAAACATGTATTATTTAGTGCAGCGTCGTTTAAACGGGTTTCCCGTGTCGCTCGGCTGCTGATTGGTTCAGCACAGGCCGGCTGTAGCTCAGGTCACATGACACCGAGGTGAAGCTCTGTGACCAGAGCAGCAAAACCTCAGAGGTCTGTTAGTTGTTCCAGCGACAGAGTAAAACTTGACTTTCAGTACAAACTCGTGAATATTCAGAATCGCTGGTTTTCAGGTAAGGTGAGCATCCTGGAGGATTCGGCGCTCGATTCATTCAACGGTGAGATCAGCCGGGAAGCTGCCGACAGGAGCGACGCCTCGATGAAGCTCAACGCACACGAGATCTACAAGGAGCTCAGACTGCGAGGTTACGACTACGGGAAAACCTTCCAGGGCATCTTGGAGTCAAACACAGCAGGTACGCTGCGGCTTCTTGTCCTGCTGGGACACAAAAGGATGATTCTAGTTACACTCAGAGAAATGTTGGTAGGACTGGTTTTCTAATAATCTGATTGGCTGTTTCTAGGAGACCGTGGGAAGCTGGAGTGGACAGGAAACTGGGTGACGTTTCTGGACACCATGTTGCAGATGATCGTCTTGGGGCTGCCGGGTGGAGGTTTGCGTTTGCCGACCAGAATCCGCTCCGTGTGCGTCCATCCGGCTGCACACCTGGAAAAAGTCGGCGAGCACGCTGAAGGAAAGCAAGGTGTGTTTGCCTCGCTTGCTTCAGAGCAGCAGCAGTGATCGTCCTGGTCGTTACCGCGGTCTGTGGCGGTCAACATGTGACTGTTTTATGTGCCAAACGCCGGCTGCTGCTTCAGATGTTTGACTCTGTTTGATTCCTGCAGCGGTTGATGTCCACGTAAGCCGTTACCTTGACAACATCACTGCTGGTGGAGTTCAGATCTGTGGCCTGCACGCCACAGTAGCCCCTCGCCGGCAGCAGCTGCAGAGCCCGCCCACTCTGGAGGAGTTCCTGTTTGTTCCTGATGTGGAGACGGACTGCCTTACAGCCAATGGGAAGCTGGCAGAGCAGCTGAGGCTTTGCAAAGGTGCAGAATCTCCATCACTATGCAGTAAACACACGAGTGATAAAATAATGTTTGCACGTGTGATCCAAACTGTGTGAGGATATGATGGGATTGTGTGGTTCACGTCTCCCTGCATTTAACAGCTGTTTCCTGTTAGACTTGCTTTGATCTCCTTGTGAGGAGAACATCAAACCAAACCTCGTGCTAAAGTCTCCTGTCCTCCGTGTCCAGCTTTGATCCACACACTGCAGCAGAAGCTGGCCCCTCATGGTGTCAAGCTCTCCATCCCGGGGTTACAGGGGGGCTCTGATGCACCTCCTCCCAGCGGCGAGCCTTCTGAGCCCGGCCTGCTGCGGCTGCTAACCCTGCTCTGTGGCCTCGAGTTCAATGGGAACCTCCACTCTGAGCTGGAGCAGGTGGTGCAGAAGGAGCGGCTGTGCCTGCTTAAAGACGAGCTGCTCCATGGTCTGCTGCTCGACGACGCCCTGAGGCATTGCCTCGACATCACGGTGGAAAACAGCACACCTGGCAGGATCAAAGTGTTGGAGGTGAGACTCTCAAACATCTGGATTCAGCTGGATTATTTCCACACGCTCATCGTTTTCACGTGTCCGACTCCTGCAGGCTCTCTCAGACGACGGCCAGCTCTTCTCTCGCGTCGTGCCCCTGCTCAACATCCAGCCCACGCTCCGTGTGGACTACACTGCGACTGCAGCCAGTCTGGAGCTTCTGGCCCCCCACCAGGCTCCCCTGGAGGAGCTCGGCGTCGCTGCGGCTCAGTGGGATCCTCTGACCGGCCCAGCAGCCGGAGACGTTGCTGTGGGGGCGGACCTGGTGCTGTGTAACCACGCGTGGGGTCCAGTGAGGACGGAGCCCCGGCTGCTGGTAGCAAATCTGGCATCTGCAGCCAAAGAAAGCGGGTTTGTTCTCCTCCACACGCTGCTGAAGGGGGAGGCGGTGGGGGAGGCGGTGGCCTTCCTGTCCCGCTCTGCTCAGAGCAGCAGCCAGCAGCGACTCCTCACACAGGTGTGTTTACACACAGCATCTTCACAGCCTGTGTGACTGCTGTCAGCTGAGTTTATTATTCTGCTCTTGTTGGAAGGCTGAGTGGCAGGAAGTGCTCTCAGAGGCTTCTCTTAACCTGGTGGCGCTCAGGAAGTCCTTCTACGGCTCCGCCCTCTTTCTGTGTCGCCGTCAGTCTGTGAGCAAACAGCCGGTTTTCCTGCCTGTGGACAGCAAAGACTATCAGTGGGTGGAAACGCTCAAGGTCAGTCCCACGTCGTCTGTCTGTCGTTGTCCCCGAACACTCGCAGCTCGCTCGTCGGGCTCGTCTGATTGGCTGTTTTCTCTGTGTTAGTATGTATGAGAGAGATCTGAGCTGTTTAAAAGTCTAACTGTGGGGACTCTCTGCAGCAGGAAGTGATGTCAGAGTCCTCCGACCATCCAGTGTGGCTGACTGCTTCTCAGGCAGAGTGTGGGATTGTGGGAATGGTCAACTGTTTACGGCAAGAGCCTGGTGGCCACCGGATACGGTATGACGTCGTTATCAGCTCGTTGTTCTCACACTGCAGCTTTTATTTAGAAAGGATCACACAAGTCAGGATTTAGATGCATGTTAGCACTGCTGGGTCTCACTGATGATCACTAATGTGCCAAAGCTCAGGTTCCTAATAGACTCGAGTGTAATCAGTGAGGCTTCCTCAGACGTTAACTTTATTGTGCAGTGGAAACATAGTGGACACTTCCTGTTGCTTATATTTCTGTGTAAAGTCAAATGATAAGGATCAGCTGTTCCCACAGGCCTCAGATAGAGGCTCAAACCTCTGAGGACTCGTTCTCTGCTTCCAGCTTCAGGCTGAAGTCTGTCACGCTCAGTCTGCCTGGTTCAACACTGTTGTCTTGTTCATGTGTTACAGCAGGACAAACGTGTCTTTATTCCCGTTTGTGTTTCTTCTCTCGCTTTGTCACCAGCTGTGTGTTTGTGTCCAATCTAAACGAGTCTTCAGCAGCACCAGACCTCCAGCAGGACCAGTGGTCCATCCAGTCAGTGCTGCAGAAGGATCTGGTCATGAATGTGTTCAGGGACGGACGCTGGGGCACCTTCAGACACCAGCTCATCACTCATGGTTCGACTCGCACTCACACAGCAGTGGTCACGTGTCAGGATGCACTCATGTTTGAGCTCCATGCACTTCCTATGAATGACATCACAAACATAAAGAATAATAATGACTTTGTTATTTACACTCAGAGTGTAGATGCAGCTGCACTTTTACAAAAATGAACCCGTAAAACCTGCAAAACTGTAATTTTACGTGGAACAAACAGTCGTCAGAAAGACGTTTACTTGTAGAGCTGTGCTCTCACACAAAGCTGCTGCAGGTGTTTGAACCCAGCAGTGAGTTAGACAGTACTGCTTCGCTCCCTCTTGGTTCCCTCTGGGTTCCCGCTCTCTGAGGCTTGTCTGCATGCTGTTTCAGATGTAAATGAAGCGCCGACCGACGCCGCTTACGTCAACGTGCTGACACGAGGTGACCTGTCGTCTCTGCGCTGGATCGCGTCCCCGCTTCGCCACTTTGTGAGCAGCAGCCCTGCTGTGCAGCTGTGCCACGTCTACTACAGCTCGCTCAACTTCAGAGACATCATGCTGGCTACTGGCAAGCTGCCGCCGGACGCCATCCCAGGTAGCATGTCTGTACACAGCAAGTAGTGCCGCACTCTGCTGGGTCGTAGTGTGTGTGCTGTTCTTGAACACTCAGAGCTGCGGTCACATGACAAACCTTTTGTTATTTGTCGTAAAGGGGACCAGGCTTTGAAGCAGTGCATGCTGGGTATGGAGTTTTCTGGTCGCGACCCCAGCGGGCGTCGTGTGATGGGGCTGTTGCCTGCCAAAGGCCTGGCGACGGTCGTGGACGCCGACAGAAGGTTCCTCTGGGAGGTTCCCCACAGCTGGTCAGTGTGGAGAACACAGACGTCCTCAGCAGCTTTAACATTAAAATACAAGAAATCTTTTTAATCATCAGCAGCCTTCAGAAAAGCTCACGTGATGCCAATAGTTACCATTTTAACTGGCCGTGGTCCTCAGTCTGTTTACAGCTGTTTGTGCTGAAAGTTCAAACTAAACACGTGATCAGAAACATTGTTTCAACTTTAGTCCTGCAGATACACAGTAACAGCACGTC